GTGACAGGTATTTGAAAATATTTCATGCAGGGGGGTATTCCAGTCTTGTTTTTTAAAAATGAAGCAACCTCCTTTTTAGTAATACACGTGGCATCCTAAATCTGTTTTATCAAACTGAGTCCAGGGTTTATAAAACTGTGCAATAAGATTTTAATACAGCTCATCACATTATACAGAACCAGCCATCCTGCTTAGTCTTCAAAGACTTGATATTCCCCAAGCACATCCCACATGCAACTGCTGCTATCTAATTACATGCAATGACAGCCTCTCTTCCTTTGACACTATAGCTGAGCGCTCTCTGGCTGAGTCCTGAACTAGGACGCACAGCTTGCCAGCTCTAAAAACTGCAAGCGTTACTGCTCAGAATGTCTTCAGCTGTCTAACTGTACCAAAAATACACTGTTTTAATCTTCTTCCTGGAAAGCTAGTTTACCAGTTCCGAAACGCTTGCCTGCAGAGGCAGGCTTGATTTCAGCTTTTCGGATAGTTGCAGCAAGTAGTTGTGTGTTAAGCATTAGAAGGCAGGAACGTAAACTTTTATGGTCACGATGAATTAATGACTTAATTAGTTTAATGCTTCTTTCAGTTAGATGAGCATTATTTTCAGGGTATTAATATCAAGAAGTCCTAGCTATCATCCAGAGCATGCTATGCTACTCCTTGTACAACAACCAGAAGATGAGCGAAAAGGTCAGGACTCTGAGCCAATAAGACACAATGAATAGCAAAGAGAAGTGCCATGTTGATGATGAAAGGAGCGCACTGCAGTCACCTCCTGCTGGTCACAAATCCTGATCCTGCACTCTGGAAATGATGACATTAGCTTCAAAAGTGTAAGAATGTTAAACAAAAGAGGGGAGCGTGTTTGCCATTTTCTATACTTGCTTGGCTGCGTGGAGCTTTTAGGAGGCAGTTTGTCACATTCTCAGTATTTTTCTGAAGCTGTGACAGAGATATTTCACACCGACAGTGCCTCCTGTGAAACCATAGATGGCTTTGCAGTTACCTGGAGAGGCATCAGAGGCGTATTTGCTTCAGAAAATAATAATGAATTCCATATGACACTGGAGAAAGGCTGTAAGAAAGACATCAAAGATCATTACTCCCTCTACCCACCACTGAGAGTGGGTACCACTGAGCATGACAGATGGCAGATCTTGAGTCAGCTCCAATTTGCAACGACTGAGAAGAGAGGGAAACAAAGGAGGAGTTTGTCTGAACCCTTCTTTTTTTTTACTCAAAGCTCACTTTCTGAGGCATTTTTTGTGATAAGGCTCTGACATATCTAGGAGGCAAGTGGTGGGTATCACCTGTGGCAATCAACATCACTTTGTGGACAGTTTTACATTTGAAAGTATTTCTTTGAAGATGTTTGCCTTCGAAAGGGAGTGCGCAGGAGGGTTAATTGGCTGAAGACTTGGCCTGGGAGCAAACAACTCCAGCTTAATACGGGAGACTAGGAGATGATACCACTGTATCCTGTGAAGACAGGATACAATTTGGCATCTCCTTGCTTCCTCTCATCTGCTGACTTAAGTTTGCAAGGCCTGGAAGACAGGAACAAAGGAGTTCCTGCTGAGATCCAAAAGCCTGAAACTGATGCTCCAAAAGGAGATGACTCGACCACTTTGGACTTGTAAGTTTGTCCTGTTGTTAGTGGTTGTCAACTGAACAACACAACCTCCACCAACCCATCACTGCTGAAGATCAACATCTAAACTATGAGCAACGCTGGAATCCTGGTGGTGACTCTCTACCTCTTGCTTTCTACAAAGACTCCTTGTTTTATTTCCTTTCTTTTCTATCATCCATCTTCCCTTTCCCATCTCCCTTAGTGACTAGGGTTTGTAATAAACCGGTCGGGCAAATATCTAACCTGCTATTTCTTAATCTTGCCATTGGGTACACAGATATTAAAGAACCTTCTCTCTCTACCTCCTATAACTGGAGCGAGACAGGGCTGAAGAAACTAGAACAAGAGAATGAGTAAAATAAACTGAGGTGAGTAGACACAGGAATAGGCAAAAAGTGGCACAAAGGGCACTGTCCCTTTCTTCATGTCTGCCTTTCTCCCAGAGTTAGGGTGAACAGAGAGCTGCACGTATTAATTCTGTGTTCTCTAGCAAGCTCTGTTTCCTCCAGCCACTTACATTTTGCACAGGAACTCGGTAAAGCACAGCCCCTTCACCCCTGAAGATGAAGCTGGAAGTCCTGGGGTACACCAGAGGAACACAGCTCATCCCAGCTTTCTTTCACCATTTTCTGTTCCTGCCATTACACGAGAACAAACTGACAGCCCATTAGAAATTCCATCTGTGTTTTGCAGGTAAGGACAACACCACAACACTCTCCTGCTCAACATAAAAACTACAGTATCATTTTTTTGCCATCTGATTTGTTTCAGAACAATAAGTAAGAGAGCTAGTAATGTCTGAGTAGTACTTTTTCCAGAGAATCTAATAATAAATGCCTTAATCCACAGTTAGTCACTTGTGAAAGCAGTGATTTTCCAAGGCATGGAAGAAGGGCAACCACTGTGATGTGCAGCACTTTGGAATATCTAAAAGTCCCTCTACCACCTAAGAAAGATTTGGATGTCCCTGGGAAGCTTCCTGTTCAGTTCTCTAACTGCACTAACCATGAAACTTGCAGGGTGCCCTAGAGGAAATCTTTAGGCACAAGATTAACAAGTAGCTGTTCCCAGGAAGACAGCTGGGTGTGTTCTTGGTGCAACTTTTTCAGCAGCCTCTAAGCATCTTCCATTTCCCCATTATTTTAAATGAGTTTTAAAAGAAGAAAAGGGGATTTTAGACTCTGTTTAGACAAAACACAGAGTTATTAATTCAGTCTGTATATTAACATATGTGCAAATATATGTGTGTGTACATGCATTTTGAGTTAGGAATAGAATAATATACATCCAGAGAAAAAGCATTCCAACAAAGAGTGAAACTCCACCACCAATGATCCGTATGTAAACCTGCCTGCCTGCATTTACTGAACTATGTACTCAAGATGTTGTTTCTAAATGTGAAGGATAGTTTTTTACAGTTCTAATCCACAAGTCTCAAGCTAAATTATTCTGTTGCTCTGACAACATACTGCTCCTGTTCTCAGATAAGAGCATGCCATATTTGGGTGCCACATTTTTAATTTCTTTTGAAATTTATTTGGAATAGAAACAGCATAAAATTGAGAGGTTAGTTGGGTTACCTTTTATTCTCCAGGAGATTGCTTTCGGCACTGCCTGTGATCTTTGTGTTACTAACACAAGAAAGCTATGAGCGCAGAGGCTGGCAGATGCAAAAGAGAGCTGGGTAGGAGGCACGGAGGAGGTGAATCTGGAACACCTCTCCATCTTTTTATGCTGCAGGGAACCAGACAGGGAAACTGGCGGGAGGACAGATGGTTATCAACTCTCATGATTTTGAGGGTTGCATAATATTTTTTTAATGTAAAGACAATGCTTTGTGACTCAGGGTGATTTTCTGAAAGCTAAAAAAGGGCAGCATCTCCTAGTGTGCTGGAGCACTATCAGCACCACTGAGGATGGTATCTAGACATCTTATCTTGAGTTTAACCATTCCACCCCCTTCCTTGTGGCTTTCCAAGACACTGGAGGCTCTAAGTCCTATTGTGCAATGCCTACTGGGGACTTGAACAGTGCAGAAGAGACCACACAGAACAATTTAAAGCCTAAGCAAATATGGGCAGACCAGCAGCTGACAAGAGTAAAGAAACACGAACGCTGCGGCCCATGGAAAAGAGATTTAAACAATAATTATTCCTTTTCTCCTTAGAATGTCATTCAAACACTCTATATTAGTGCAAAGAGATCTCAACACAAACATAAAATAGCTGATTCCAGGGACAAGTGCTGTTTTTGGAGACAGCAGAGCTCTACCAACTCTAGAACACCTCAGTTACAGCCAGATACAGGGCCTGTTTAAGACAAACTACTAAACATGGACAAGGCTAATTTTGGAGCTACAGGGGTCCAAATCAGGCAAATATATAGGAACATCTCTATATGTGTTAAGCCCAGTGGTTCCTCTGTTAGTGTCTATATATCAAAGAATAACTCTGCCCCCTTTGTAGTCTTACATGCCAACTTTAAATCACAATTAATGAAGGCATCCAGTTCTTTCCATGTCATTTTACTCACAGGAGCCTGCCCCTTCCACCAGCTGCTTGGAGACTTTCTCAGATGAAAGAAAGAACAGAGAAACCACTGCTTAATCAAATGACTCCTGTAGTCAGCACTCAGGGACCTTTGTTCAGCAGAGTATAACTGTCCTTTCAGCCTACAGAAAACAGAAGCAGACTCCACCAAGGAATACCTACAGGCACCTGACACCACATAGCAGGCACAGACATGGGCCATAGCAAACCACATTGATTTAAGAGGACAGCTATAGCATAATACAGAAGATGAATTAAAAAATCCCATCTCATGGATCTCGAAATACTCAAGATGCTTTCATTTCATGCCCTATGACCAAAGTCTTCTGCAGTGATGGAAATCAAGTAGGGGAGAAGCAGAGCTGTCCGTGGTAGCTTTGGTGCTGGGATTACTAGAATCATAGTATTGTTAAGATTGGAAAAGTCATCTAGTCCAACCACTGACCACAAAAATATGTCTCTCTCTGCCTAAGTTGAACACCTCCAGGGACGGTGACTCCAACACCACTCTGGACAGCCTATTCCAACGCACTACCACTTTTCCTGACAAGCCAGGCTAGCACTCGGCACAATCCAACTCGCTTCTGACTCGCACTGCGCTACCTCAAAGCAAGCAGGAAGCTCGGAGTGGGGAATTTGCGGTCCTTCCGCGGCAGCTGGCGGGCGCGCGGCTCGGCAGGTCGCACCGCCAAGCGCCGGGCTTCTCCGGGCCGCCGGCCGGCAGGGGCGGTGCCTACGGCCACCGGGGAGGGGTAGCGGGGGCCGGCCGCCGCCCTTCAGCTCCGCGGGTCCGCACGGCGCGGCGGCGGGGCGGTATGTGGGCCGCGGCCCCTCTCCTGCTGCTGCTGCTGCTGCCGCTGCCGCCGCTGCTGCTGCTGGCGCGCCGGTGGCGGCGGGAGGCGGCCGCGCTAGAGCCGGCCGGCCGGGCCGTGCTCATCACCGGCTGCGACAGCGGCTTCGGGCACCTGCTGGCGCTGCGCCTGCACCGCCTCGGCTTCACCGTGTTCGCCGGTTGCCTCCGCCCCGGCGGCGAGGGGGCGCGGCGGCTGCAGCGGGAGGCGGCGGCGGACGCCGGGCGGATGCGCGTCCTGCGGCTCGATGTCACCCGCGGGCGCGACGTGCTGGCGGCCAAGGAGCTGGTGCTCAGCCACCTGCCCGAGCGAGGTGAGCGGCGGCGGGGCGCGGCGGGAGCCCCGCTCCGTGGCCGGCGGGCGGCCTCCATCGGGCGGCGGGAGGGGCGGCAGGCCGCAGGGCATCGAGCGGCTGCGGGGCTCGGAGGGCTGCCGGCGCGGCTGCCCGAGCGCTGCTAGGGAGCGCGGCTATTAGCGGTGCTAACTGCAGTTACTACTAGCGGCAATAACAACGGTTTGTGTTAAAAAGCCAGTGCCCCTTGTTAAGCGGTACACAAACGGGAGGCCGTAGCCCCAAATGACAGCGAAGCACGCACACGTGGGTGAGAGGTGGGTGCGCGTCCCTTGTGCGGCAGCTGAGGACACCGCCGGCGGCAGGGCTGCCCCTGGAAACCCTCTGCAGGTGTCTGCAGACAGAGCTGGGAACGAAACGCGGGCATGCACAGCAGGCAGCGGGGAAGGGAGGGATTTCTAGGCGTGTTTTGTGAAAAAGGGAATAAAGAAACGCAGAAGGCAGCTGCTGTGCCTGTCGCCTCTCAGTGCAAGTTGGGGTTTGATAAGCTAGTTCACAGAAGGGTCATTTAGAAGGAAATCTGGCAACCGTACACCCTGCAGGGAGCATGCTCCAGAGAGAATGGATGGAGTCTAAATGGCACAGTAACTGTAGGCAGCATACATCCCAGTTCACCACCTCAGAAGCTGTGACGGTGTGTGCAGAAGGGCCACGTTTCCACTCTTTCATAGGTAGGGCTGCCAGGCAGAAGGAGCCAGTGTACTGCTGAGGGATGCACATGGCTCAGCTCACACACCCCCAACTCAAACGATTCCCTCAATTACAGACCAACGGCTCCTGCTCATGGCAGAGAGTAAAGCATGCAGAAATAGCTTCCCATACAAGGCCTGTCTGCCTCATTCCTTAGCACCTTGGGAAGGGGATGAAATGAGACGTGAAGTAAGAAAAAGCCTCAATGCTGCTCATTAAGTCCATGTATTTATGGTTGATCTTGACCTTATCTGATTAAGAGGCAGAGCCTTTCTCTCTCAGACTCCTTCCCAAGCTGCAGGCACATCGCAGATGACCCACAAAAGCTCTTACAGGCCAGATGGGGCACAAGGACTGGATCACCTGAAACTCTGGGTTACAGATAAGTCAATTTACCCTGTAATTCTGGTGGTTCATGCGGTGGTTGTGTTCGTGCAGACTCTTGAGTCCACAGCTCAGCATGAACTTGCTGGTTACCCCTGCTGCTTGTAGGTATGTGAGCATGCCTTCAGATCAAGGCAGATCTCACCACTTCTTGCGGAAGGGGACCCTTGGGCACAGTTGGTGTTGAAATGCAGATACTGCGCGCACGCTGCGTATGCAGAGAAGGCTTTTCAGACAGGCCCTTAGACCCAAAATGCAGCACTGGGCACAGAATTCATGAAATATTTTTCTGTTGCTTTTGGGCTGCAGCAGCATGATGGTTTGTGTTGTGAAGGCAGAAAAGAAAATGTAATTTCATAGAAGCAGATAGAACACAGGCCATTCGGGAAAACTCCCAATTATCAAGTAATCTTCCTACATTTGTTAAACAAGAAGGAGCAAAGGAGCTATTTTAATAGCTGGTGTTAATGGAGCGAATGCCACAGGTTGTCTTCATAATTTATAAAATACAATTATAAAATATTTTTATCTCAAATGTAATGAAACTATGAGGACACTACTTATATAGTCTTCAAGCAAAAGATTTCAGAAGGAGTGTTCCTTCTTGGCACCTCTAAAAATAGATATATTTCCTTTGCTAATTTATAAAAATAGTTTCAGTGAAGTTCAACTGAAGGTTAACTCTTAAGTGAACCATTTTATTTGATAAAGACAATCATTTATTTACATTCGGGCCAAAGATTGTTTTTAATGTGGATTGTTTTTTCTTTTCACTGCAAAGAGAACTCTGAACCATTTCATTTATATTCTGAAATTACCTAGAAGGAGAGAAAAATGTGTGGCTGTGGCTGTGAACACTTCACCTGCTGCCCAGCGGTTCCCAAAGGGTGAACAGCAAAGGGTGTGCCTTAATTTCCCACTGGAGAAGGAACTCTGCAGTGAGTTTTCCCTAGTGGATCATGGAGCATCTAGGGGTCTGCAGCATGAGACTAACCATGCTGAAAATCAAGTATGTGTCAGATATTTGCAGGAGGGAGAGCAAAGAGTAGACGGTGAGTCCAGTAGACTGTCTTAAATAGTCATCTGTCAGCAAGAAAATCTGCTTTTTGTTTTTGTACATACAGTACAAACAGATGCAGAAATGCAGTGAGTGGTGCTGAAGGTAAATCAGCGTGACTTACAGCAACAGTGAAACCTAGATTCGCTTATTGTAAAAGCTATGAAAGCATTCACCTTTAAAACAGTTACTGAAAGTGCTCTGTATACCTTCTAGTTTGTAAATCCTGCTGAACTCTGCTGCCTATGCTTTCCCCTTCCTTTGCCTGGGGTAATTCTACTCAAAGAATCCCTGTAGAAACTGAGAGAGAAGCCTCTGTCCCCAGAGTCACACAAGGATTTGTTTAGGGACTGTTCCCTCTCTTTTCTTTACTACAGCCAATCCCATTCAGGTAAAAAAGATTTTAAATATGTCACACTGGCATGCTAGGATCTATGTTTAGATCACTAAAATACTCCTGTATCATTCAAAAATGCTCAGAAAGGAATAACTTCATCTATCTCTAGGTTTAATGCAATCCATTTCCAACTAAAACTTTAGAAGATGTACCAAAACAGTGAGAAAGCAGTTAAACAGTTTGATGGTTTGCTATTTGCTAACTCTCCCAGTACTTACAGAAACATCAGTATTTTTTGGATTTTCTTCTACTTAAAACCTGATTTCTCATCCTTTCCTGTTCTGAGTAGATGGCATTGTGGAAGACAAGGATATTCATTTTGGTCCTACCTCTCACCACTAGGTTATCATATACTATCCTCCACTTAATTAAGATTTCCTTTTCGTAGAGTCCTTGCAGTATGCCCATGGTACCATAGTTCAGCCCAGGCATCATACACAAATAGACTTATTCTCACAATGAAGACAACCACAGCATAACATTTGGAGGAATGGATTGTGACTCTAGAAGGTACGAATCTGAAACTCAGGACTCTCAGCTGACCTGTTACGATGGACACCGTACATTTCCCTCAAGCAGACTGGTTTGCTCCCTCTCTGCATTTTTCACTAGGAAGTTGACATCACATTCTACTCCATTTGGCTAATTTCCTTTATTATTGGGATCCTTCAGGAAAGAGCCTGCCATTTTTGCAGAGTCCCAGTTTAACTAAGAAACTCCAAAAATCAGTGAAATCAAAAACACACATTTGAGTTTTGAAAATGTGGTTGAATTTAGGTATCTTCCCTGTGCGAGTGCTTTCACAGACATGTGAACACAGACAGAAATGTGTGTTTTGTGAACACACAGCTTGATTGACTTGAACAGGAAGAAAACTTTAATAAAAGTTTCTGGAAAGAATATCAGGTATCTCTTGGGTCTAAATACAGACTTTGGATATGTGCTTTTTGGACAACATGCTTTGAAGCAGTAATTATCTGGGGCATTATTTGTGAGCCAGTGTTCTCCTGAAAGCCTCACTAATCTTAAGTTAGGTTTCCTAAAGTGATTCTTTACATCCTCTGCTATCTCTCTTAATCTCTGTCCTCAGAATCCATTTTCTTAAAGCAGAGATCAGTGAAGATCTCTTTCTGATTGCCAGTTTATTTCTCTCCTGCCTGCTGCAGTACAGTCTCACACTCCTCTTCCTAAGCTGTGCCCCAAACTGAGTTCTGTTATGACAGTCTGAGCAATTTTTGCCTCCGGATCAAATCTTCAGCTGCTTTTCTTTTGACATGTCTGTGCATGGACACTCTGAGGCAATGTGATGTCTCTTTCCTTCGGCTGTTTTGTTTAATCTCATTTGTGCCCTGTCCTTCTAGGAAGCAGTGAACTGACTGGCTCTAGATATCAGAGATTCACATTGAGTTCTACCAAGGACCATGCCATTGATATTCTGACCAGAAGTCTTTCAACAGATGCACAGATCTTCTCAGAGCTTTTTATGGCCACTATGTTTCTGTATTGCAGACAGCCCCTAGATTTTCCTCAGGAATCCTGTTGTTGAGCACGGGAAGTACCCCCGCATCTGGCTACACCCTAGTTTTGAAATCGTGTCTGATTCTGTGCTGAAAACTGCCACCTGGGATCCCTTCCCTCTGTAGGATCCAACAAATTGTTATTTGCGTGTGACATGCTGTACTTAGGAAACCCTATACAGAATCAGGCACCCAGGGAACAGGCGAGAGGAGCCCAGCCATTGGTGTCACTGGAGGGGTCTTGGAGACTTCTCTCCTATGCCTGTATTTCTCAGGTTCCCTGAGCTGCTTTGTCTAAGCAAACGTACAAAATATTTTGCATGCAGGCTTATCACATTAACTCTTACCTCACGTGTTTCAAGAAAGGAAGATGAAAACTGATTCCAGCAACCTGATTGCAAAGCTAGGCAGGTTGTTTTTCATGAGGTAGTCACTGTTTTGAAAGAAAGTGGTATGTGGCTATAACAAACTGCTCATTATTTGGGTGGCATTTGGCAAATTGATTCAACCAAAAGAAGTGGCAAGAAGATTTGTAGAATACTTCAGAAGTTTTCCCATTTGGAGATGTCAGAATGTTCTGCTGAGGAACAGTATGTTTCACTTGAGGGCAAATAAGATACTTTGAGCTGACTCTGAGCAAAGTCTCTTTTTATATTTTACTTAATCTTTTCCTCAAAAGAGTCTGTTTCAGTTTAACTCAAGGAATTTTTTTTCCCCTTGACTTTGATCTGGCCATTGAAAAGCAAGAAGGAGCTGTTATTCTAGTAACTCTGCATGTTTGTACACATGGGCTAGCCTTATCACAAATCACCTTGGGTCTTTGAAGTGCAGGAGGGAAGCTGGCAAGCAGCCGAAGAGAAAACCTTTACCTTGCAAATTAAATTCTGTATTTCATAGTTTAGAGAAAGAAAATCAATCGCTTAAAGTCCAACGGCCGTATTTCTGAAGACCTTGTGAATTCTGGGGTATGTGGAGCAAATGTTCTTGCTGTGCTGTGCAGGATGCAGTGGCAAAAGCAAAATGACATTTTTGTTTCAATTAGAAAAGATCAAGGAACAGCTTTGCCAGTGATGTCAGACTTCAGTTTGGCTTGTGCTTCTTTAAAAATAAACCTGAGTAGAGAGACCTGCAGTGCAGCCTAACCAGATGGAGTATGCAGCTACTCAGTCCATCTGCAGATCAGTTCACATGCAAGTATACAAATGTTGACAATTAGCTCTTGGAGGATTCTAATCCAGTGAAACATTCTACAAGGAAGCCAGTCCCATGGCCTTAGTTCCATTTTAAGAAGGGGAAATCAAGCCACAGAATGATGGAAAGACCTGGGACAACAGAGCAGCAGCAGGGAAAAGAAGGATACCTGGGATGGTAAATTCGAGGGGCTGATTTTTTGGTCCATTTCCTCTCCTCTGTCCTACCAACATTTGGGGCAGTGCCAAAGAGGGGAATGCAAAGGACAGGCACAATGAGTAAGACAGAAGACAGACTGTATCTATGGTCATGAGAGAGGTCCAATGTCAAGGCCTGCTGTCTTATAGACCCCTACATGATGGTCTATTCACTTTGGAGGACAGAATTCCATGTGGTAAATTACTGTTTTGAGTGCTTTGCAAATGAGACATTCACTGAAAGAACCTTGTTTCTTTAAGCACTGAGTTGCATTATGTAGCACAACAGTATCTATATATTAGGAATGCTTACAGAGCTCTGCTTTCCAAAGTAATTCTAAAAATTGTCTGTTTCAACTTTAACTACTTCTGTGAATGAAATCCTGAATTAGCAGTTCCTGGCAGAGCAGTGGAAGGACGGAGATACAATGAAACCATCACAGTAGCTTTGTTGGGGAAGTTCACAAAGAAAAGAAAGAAAGGGTTTCTGCAGCACTTTCACCAGGGTAATCAAAGGTCCCATCTACTCCACTATGGGTACAGGAGGAATCACACATCCCTTCTCTATCTAGGGGATGGAAGAGGCACTGTTCCCCACTGCCCTGCCAGAAACCTAGACCTGGAGATCATGCAGAAGGCATCAGAATACAATGATTTACCTCAAACAGACGTGTATAACATCTCATCAGCAAAACTGGCAAGGCCAGCAGAAACAAGCTGCAAACTTAGTTATTTCTCAGACCACCCTGAGTACTTCTTAATTACACTCTTGGTCACCCTTGAGATACTCTAAGTTAGGGTCTGAGAACAGAAACAGCAATGCTTTCACAAGCACCATGTCACTTACTGCTTTACCATACATCTGTAGACAAGTGCTCTGTGGGCTAGAACAAGTCAGTGTGGTTTCATCAGCATTTAGTCAGCTTGTCAGCTCTAATCTGCGAGCACTGCCACACTTCAGCAAAAAGCATGTCCAACAACCAAGGTTCCGAGCGCTGCACAATGCTTGCATGAAATGTTCTGTGGCTTTGGGCTAAAGGGCTTGATGTAGTTATGTCAGAACAAGCTCTGCTGCCTGTAGAAATCTGCTTGTAAATGCTGAAATCTTATTGCATTTTAGGGGGTTGGGTTCTACAACCATTGTTAGGTGGAATAGAGCTGACCAAGGGTAAGAAATCCAGAGAACACCATAGCCACAAACCTTACTGGGCTGTTTTAGTCAGTGCTGTGCCTGTGTACCCAGCTATGTCTGATTTCAGAAGGAACTGAAGCTCGAAATCCTGAAAAAAACATAGGCTCCTAAATTAGTCACGCTCTTTAAAAATATTACCCCTTAGCCTTTAGACTGCTTAATGTAATTTTCACAAAGCTGCTCATTGCACACAGTGGGATTCAAGTAATTAAAATATCATGATACACTGCATTGGCAGTAATAAGTAGTCTCCCAGATCATGTTATTCATAAATAACTTAAGGAGACTATAAAGTAAGTGATTATTAAATAGCACTGAGACTTACATTGTCCAGATAGTGGGCAAAATTACATCCCTTTATTAAACAAAACATTCCCACATTTATAAGTGAAAGACAAAAAGATAATGCAACTGAAAAGTTGTTATCAGGGGTTCAGCTCACTAGTGTTGTTTGGTTGCCACGGGGTGTTTTTTTTCAGCAAAAGATGCTTGCTAAGGTATTTCTCTCCTTTAGGTTTTTGGGGGCTTGTGAACAATGCAGGAATTTCAACATTTGGTGAGACGGGGTGGCTGTCAATGGAGAAATATGAAAAGTTTGCGGATGTGAATCTTCTTGGGAGCATCAGGACAACCCTGGCATTTCTTCCTCTGCTAAGAAAATACAAGGGTAATGCTAATCCACTGTTATTTGAAGTTGTAGAATAATTAGATTACTATAATCAGGGTAATGTAGCACCTATAAAAGAAGCCTTAATTGTCTTTCACTGAACTGGAATGACAGCTTCCTTCTGTGTGGCCTGAATGATCCTAAGAAGATGGTAAAATCCTAAGAGGAAAAGAACCCTTAAAGATTCCATCTTTGCAATACACAAGGGAAAAAAAAAAGTATTTACAAACAATGAATTATCTCAGTATTTCGCTAAAAACAGAGAGTAAAAAAAATGCTTACAGCAGGTTATGAAGCCCAGGAAACATTTTGTAAGCACTGCCAATCAGGAGACAAAGATCCAATAAACTCCTGCTTAACTTCTTTTATGTAGGCTTTAGTGTTTTACTGTGTGGCGTTTAGGAGAGGAAGAGTGATCATACAGAGGTGAACCAGAGACATCCAGCTTCCAGTTTCAGGCCTGACGAGATCCTCTCTATGACTCTGGGCAGAGAAACCCCACGTATGTGAAACAGTGCCACACAGAGATGCATGGTATCAAATGGGATAAATGCTGTAGCATGAACCTCCGTATGCATGTGCTTTGCCCTTGCTTCTGATGAGAAATGGCTTGAATAGCTCTCTACAGCATTGCAGAATGTCTCAATTGCTTTGCAGTTTGTTCCTTCTCCATCTGCATTTGGGAAACAAAGACACTCTTTTCCTTTCTCCTCGCTTTGCTGAGCTTGTCTATTTCAATTGTAAGCTCTTTAAGGCAAGGATTCCCTCTACTGTGTGTGTATAGCATCAAGCATGGCAGGGCTAGCTCTTGTATGGAATCCCCAGATATCACTGTTACACAAAATGCTGGTAGGATAAAAGCATCCTCTTTTTTCCTACTTTGCTTCTTCCTGCTTGGTTGCCTTTGGCTGATATTTTGATGGAAGAAAAAAAGCAACCTTTAAATACTGCAAGCTGGAAGTTTTTGTAAGAGAATGTGCTATTGCATATACAGTGAGAAACAGCAAATGTGTTACAATGCCATTACACAAGGAGACATTGATTTCTGTCTTTGATGTCCTGCGTACTGCTAAAACTCTATGATGCTCTAAAGCTCGATGGTAACCCCCAACATTCTCTTGGGAAAACTGGGTTTCAGTTACCTCAGGCAAAGAGAGAATTTGAACAGTGTGTCCCCCATTCCGGGTGCATGCTCCAAATTGCTTAGTTAGTGGGCTAAGGAAGGAAAGGTTATGCTACTGTCACTTACACAGAGCCTGTGTCCCAACAGAAAAGGCTTACTGCCATTTCAGGATGAGCAACCTGTCCAAGAAGAGCTTCAAGATTATTAATACTTGTAAAGGAGGGTATTTCCCTTCAGACAAGTACTGAACATCTAATTCTGAGAGGACCAACATAACTTTTCCTGATAGTGAGGCCAGCTGATGTAGCATCTTGATCAGCAAGCTGGTAGTCATTCTGCCATTACTGGATATGAGAATTACCCCAGACACTGACTGTGTAAGAAAGCAGGGGACATAATCCAGAATGACAGATTTCACTGCATTCCCATGATACCCTTTTGACAGCCCAAAAGCCTGTACCACTTGGTCCAATCTGGTGCCTGGACGTTCTCTGCATCTGTGGCAGCAATAGGGATGATACTGTGTTTTCTAAATTGCTAGCTATGAGGACATTATCTCTCTCACCTCTGATATGAATATATATTTACACATACATGTACTACATACACACATTTGTTACTGTATGGTGTGACTGACTGGTGGAAGCTGACAAATAAACAACGGAATGAGACCACAGCCCAAAGCCTCAAATCAGAACTCTGTGCATTTAATGCATGTCTGCCTGCACTTGGTGAGAGTTACAATAGGAAAAAAAGGCAGCGCAGATCGTGGAAATCACAGCACAGCTGTGTAAGACTGCACTGTGTAAGACTTTTGTCAAGTCACCTTTCTCTGGTAAAGCTTGTCCCTGTACAATCTGATTATGGGTTTATATGCACAGTTTTAAGCTGGAACTCAGTGCAAAGACATCATTAACACAGAATGGAAATGGTATTAGTAGTCACATAGCCATAAATGATATTAGTAGTCACGTAGTCACCAAAAGGAAAATCATTCACTTCACTCCTTTGCAGTCCTTCTCCTATTACTAGCACAGTATTTTATTATTATTTTTCAGTCTAAAGATCTTAAGGGCATGCTTTGCTTCCATCTTTTTTCAGCTTCTGTTACCTGAGTCAATTGTCTCAAATGGAATAAGCAGCACATTGGGAATCTGTCATCCCCTGTCTGGTCCAGAGTGTGTCACTAGATGGAAGGAAGCTGCTTGTATGATACTTTACAGAGCAACTCAGCTGCTTTACTCAGCTGCTTTACAGAGTTGAGTGCATAGTTTTGTTGGGACTGCATATTTACACAGCACAGCTTTTACATGTTGCACTGTAAAACAACATTGTGCTAAATACTACCTCACTTGCAATTCAAAAGGCTTGGGCAATCAATTCTATGTTAAAGATCAAGAGTGACAAGTTTTGTTATTTGCGCTGTTTTCTTTTCAGGACGCATTGTTTTCATGTCCAGCATCATTGCCTATTTTACTCTGGGAAATGGCATTTATTCTATGACCAAGGCAGCTATTGAAAAATTCTGTGATGCTCTAAGACTGGAAATGAAGAAGTTTGGTGTCCAGGTAAGTGATGTAATAAATAGCTGCTCTGTGAAACTTCCTGCTATTTCAAACATGTTTTTTGTATGAGAAAGAGAGAAAATTCACTCCTGAAACTTCTTCCAGAGCTGAAATGCATCGGGAAGTAAGTAGCTTCAAAAAAGAGTACAGGACAATGGTGAGAGGGTGGCCAAGGCAACCAGAACAGACAAATGGTAAATACTGTCTAATCTTATGCAAAGCAAGCTGCGTACATCCATGCAAAGGGGATGGCAATAAAAGCTGCTCCCCTGAAGCCATGGATACAGCTTCCTGCTGGAAAGAGGTGGCTCCTCTGTGGCTAATCAGTGGGATGGAAATAACAGTAGGCAGCAGAGCTGGGTGGTGGTTGCAGCCCTTAGAAGATCTGGGGTAGCATGCCATCTCTGTGACAGTGCTGCAACTTGCACCCTTTCTTCACATCCTCTGTAGTGAAAAAACTTTCTGAGACAGGCTTGCCTGAACAGTGCCATACTTTTAACAATAACTTTTAACAGTACAAAGCAATGGAAACTTTCATAGGTTTACCTGCAAGAGCAAAGAGCCCAGGTCTGAGCACTGTGCATCAGAAATGAAGGCTTGTCACCTACCAGAAAAGCTTTTCTCTCTCTTCTCTCACATCCTTAAAAGCTTAAAAGCTCCTCCCTATATCTGGGAATAGCTACTCTGCAAGAGGCAATATTCATGTAGAGTAGTTTTTTATTCTCTTGACCTAAGAGAAGCTGTAGGAGTGCTCTTAGTGCTGTACCTAAGCAACTCTGATGGTCAGACCTGAAGTTTAGATCATGGAGTAGTTTCACGGGGCTTTTTCCTTGGAGTAACTCTACTGCTGAAATACTCTTCTGAAACTGAAAGTATGCCCTAGAGACTTTATGTTGGCGTACTCTTTTACATACACAGACTTGGAGCATTGTTCATAAGCTTCATGTTCGAAGAAATTACAGCTATGCTATCAGCTGCCCCTCCTGGATAAATATAAAATGCAAGTGATTTCACACATCCTAACGCCACACAGCATGATGAGGATTTGAACTGATTAGCTGAGGATAATCTCAAATGGATGGAAGAGCTTAGTTTAACAGGTTAACTGCTGTAGTGGTTCTAGGATTTTTACTGTTCCCCCACCCCTGGAATAACCTCAGCACACAATATAATAGATCAGGCTGACAAACACTTCCAGAGTATCTATGAGAATTATTTCTCTGTTTCTCACTGTATGCACGGTGCTGGTTGGCCTTTGCCTCAGAATCTACCCTGCAGGAAGCCTGCAGAAGATAAGCTTCCTCTTCTCAGTGCTCCTCTCTCCTGCTCTGCTACTCCCTTTTTGCTTTCAGGAGATGGTTGCCCAGAGGTGGCAAGGAACAGATGGCACTATGGCTCTGTCCCATTGCGCTCTGTCCAGGCAAGCTGGCTACCTACAGGAAACAAAGCGTGTGTCTGCCACTTAGAAAGAAGGCTAAAGAAAATGAGGGAAGGGGAAAAAAAAAAAGAAGAAAAAGCTTAATATCTCCTAGCCAACTTCATATAGCTGCAAAACATGAAGTTTTGAACACCTTTTCTTTAAAATATATGCGTGAATTTTACTATTGACATTACTTTGTCTAATAGTAAGCAATTTTGAAGAGTTTAAAGCAAGGGTTCTGAAAGATGCCCTGTGGCAAACCTACCAAAGGCAGCATGAGACATTCCCAGATACGCAGTCTGACTTGGGGCAGTGGGGGGGCTACCTGCAACCCTTCCTGCTGGTTCCTACAGCCTCAGCAGCAGATTGCAGAGCACTGGTGGCTGTGCAGGCTGAAAGGCTGGCACGTGGCAGTGCTGCTGCACCAGTGGTAGCCCCTGGCAGATGAGCTGGATGGCAGATCAGGGGCTTTAGGGTTATAAATTAACACGGATTGCCAAAGAATGTTTGTCAAATCCTCAAGTCTATCATATGGCTCAGCACCATTTTTCTTCACATTGTGTTAACAGTCTTTAGAAATCAGGTCAGTTAAATGCCATGGAGTTTTGAGCGCTGCACATCTACAGACAGTTTTAACAAGCCAGCTGCTAGCTGAGGTATTCCAGGAAAAGCATGCACATTGGAAGTGCTAAGCTTGCTCTGAAAGTCCCCGGAAGTCAGCAGAACAGCAGAATAATGCATGCAAAGAAAACAGGCTGAGCAGCAGAGAGTTTGTACACTTTGAATTTAAATCTGTGTGCACAGAAATCTGGAAATTTGCTAATTCAGTGAGACCTCTGGAGTAGCACCTCTGGCCTTTTCTGTACTTGTATCGATATACCCATTTCTTTTTATTATCCCCTACTTGGGGAAAATGGCGTTTCTTTCCCCAGGAATTGCTCATTTCCTTTGTCCCAAATGGACAAAAAATCACCAACTGCAAGATTTGCCACTGAGAAAAATTGCAAGCATTCCACTTTGGAGACATCAAAGTTATACTGAAATTATTTGCCTCATAACTGTCAAAACATTGACACCACTAAGCATTCTATACAAAGCAAGGATGCACGACTGCATTCTGCGGAGGCATGAACATGTAACAATCAGAGTGAAGTGAGGAAGTCAGAATAAAGCACCTCTGCAATGGCAAATGTATCATGGGAATACACTTGATTTCAGTAGAGTTTTCAAGGTTGAAATGTCCACAAAGCAGCATTTTCTGGAAGAAATCTGTTCACAAAGAGCTTTGTATCTGTTTTACTGCATATAGTATTTAACTGAATTCAGAATGACTGACGGCACTTTGATAAGTTTCACATCTTGCTTTTAGGTCTGTATTATTCAGCCAGGAAATTATGCACGATCTACAAAAATTCAGCCACCAGTCAGTGCTGAAGAGATCTGGAATGAACTCAGTGAAGAGGAAAAGGCAGTTTACAATAAGGAGTACGTTCAGGAACGGGCAGACTTTTTCAACAACATTCTCAGCAAAGGAAGCACAAATGGCAATGAGGTTGTAGATGCTATGGTAGATGCTCTCATGTCTCCTGCACCCAAGGCACGTTACATGGTAGCAAAGCTTAAGGAAAAAGCACTGGTGTTTGTATGTGCTTTATTCCCAACTGTTGTGATGGATTCTGTTTTGTCTTATGCACTCAGTAAAGTAAAACTTGCATAGCTGACTTTGATTCTGTTCAGTGACTCGGCAATTTGTTAAACTGTCAAAGCAAGGACTCCATATAGTGTCCCCAGAAACTGTATGATGACATCAGTTAGCTGACAGAAACTTTGGAGGGTCTCCCTACTCAGAACAGTCACTTGTTCACAGAGAAATACATCATAAATTTGTCCAGCAACTGTATTTCTCTCATGGAAAAAGACAGGGCCACTCATGCTGCTCTAGGTATTGCCTAGAAAATGTAATGCGGCTTCTCCTAATGCAGTACCAAATTACAGCATTAGAGACGTGACAGAGACGAAATGGAGCATATCCTAAAGGGCAACTGCGTATCTGAAATCATTATGACAGAGGTGAAAATACCTTATTTGTAGGAGCCTGAATAGTAATTTATTAGAGGTAGTGGGAAGAGGTTAATGGAAAAGTTAGGCATGACTAACAGACTTTGAAATACTTTGAATGGAGATAAGTGGCTTCAGAAAGTTAGGAAGAGCTACGTGAGTAATAAAGTTGTGTTCGTACCAATGGAAACAGTAGCTTGGGTAACTACAGCTCAGTACTTTTTCTGGTGTTATGGATAAATGTGTAACAAAGCATATGTGTATGGGCAATGAAAAATAAGTAGTACATTTCATTTACAACTGAATATTAAATTCTAATAAACTCTATTTATTTAATGTCTGGATTAATCAGTGCATTAACCCAAAATGTAGTCAGAGAGCTGAGACCAAGGCAGTAGGTATCAGCATGCAGTAGCAACTCTTAGCTTAAAAGAACATATTAAGTGTGAAGCTCTGTTTTTGCTACTATTATAGGAATTAAGGGCTGATTGAAAAAAAAAAATACCTATTAGCATGAACAGGAAAACCTTAGTAGCCTGCCTACTTCTATGACAGAAATTGAGCAAACTGCCTTCATTAGCATTTGCCTACCACCTGCTGTGGAAAAGATTTCTGATTTAGACATTCAGAGTTTTAAACATGATTTGGTTGTGGTGTGGCTCAGAATCCTCTACCTACAGGAGCAAAGATCACAGAATTATTGGGACCAGCTTACGTAGATACAGGGCAGCAGCATGAAGCATTAGCCTCCCCTGTGCCAGGTCTCCCATATCAAACCAAAGGTTTTTGTGTAATAGTCAGATTTTTGGTCTGAACCATAAATTGCAAGTTGTACCTGGGAAGTCTTTCCTAATGGATTTGATTAATTACTGAAAAAATTCTCTCTTTCATAGTGGTAATTTGTTGGTCTGAGTAAAGAGCATGGGGGAGATGAACAGAATGACTGACTGACTGCTGCAGGTCCTCTCCCAGCAGCACTCAGTGGCAGAACAGCCATCTTGCTGTACTTTTTCTAAACTGTGGAATATTCCATTTCTCTTCCCAAATGCTCAGCTTGTCCCTGCAGGAGGCATTGGTAAGAGGACAAGCCAGGACTCCCACCCAGGCCTGTCAACAGCAAGATTACCAGATGGCTATCATCCGCTTTCCTCATTTAACCACAACTGAGCAAGGCCAAGCAAGGAAACAGAAACGAGGTTTATTCCACTGAACCAATTGATTTCCTGTACAGGAATTCCCCCTGCATGACCCTAGGGATTTCAGCAGCCTCACACTGCTTTGGAACAGGGGTTTCATGCTCTTAAACATTCTTTGTGCAGATTACCCTTCCTTACAGTAAGCAGCACTGAATTCAACAAGCAGCTCTGAAATCCAGATGTTTCTCCATCAGGCTCAGAATGCATGCAACTCTCCAGTCACTGCCTCAATAATTTTGCTTTCCACTTAATGTTCACCTTCTATTTACCTTCTTAAAAGCTGCAGTAATACCTCAGTGTTGCTGAGGGATAGCACCTTCAGAAGAGTTGTCTCCCAGTGACAGATGACATAAGTATTTCCAAATGCAAATTCCTTTTATTTGCTGTGAATGTGGTGAAGCATGTGATCAATATTTCATTAGCTTCATGTAACATCAGATGAGCAACACTCATCTATTTCTTTGTCTTGCAAACAAAGAACTTGCACCACATACCTCACACAGGGTACAGCGACAGGCTGGATGAGAACAGATGGAACAAGTGAAAGCAGTTTATATTTTCACTTCTGCCTAACCTGTCAGTGTGAAAGCTAACTGAAAAAGAGCTACAAAAAGATTATCCTTCGTCTCCCCCTAGCTTTTTAATATTATGATCTGAAGATAAAGAACTAATCAAGAGAGAATCAGAGCTTCACTTATTAACAGGCCTGACAAACTCCCACTGAAAGTCATCTGGAATTCTCTCATTGCATTACATGGGCACCACAGCATAGCATTAGACCTAAAAAAATCAGAGGGAATGACTTCAGAGACCCAAGGCTTAATAGAAAAGAGACTCTCACAATAAACGGTGATGAAAGGGGTGCAGCACTCCTTTTTTGCAAGGACTTACAGGGTGTAGAACCTTCAGGATTAGTAACAGAGACTTTTAGTGAACAAATGCTGCCAACTAAGTCTGTGACAAAGTCTGAGGATATCCAGAGTAGTCCACTCCACTCAAATTCCTATGCACCTAATTGTCACTGGATATCTCACCTGACTGTAGAAACCCAGCCCTCCAGCTGGCCCATGGTACCTGATGAATACATATTGGGAAGTGGGCAACTTCCAGGCTGCTCCACTGTCCCTTTTGATCTTTGCCACTGTTGGGTGAGGAATGCCTCCTGCTTACCCAGTAACTGCAGAGCTTTCTTACCAAACACTTCCATCAATTATTTCATGGTCTTTCTCTTTTATGCAAGGGCTTATTTCTAAGAGCGCATACTAATCAGCAGAATGAACAAGCATTATTTTTGACAGTAAATGATTACAGAAAGTGCATGAAAAAAAAGACAAAAAATAAGCTAAATCAAAAGTTTAGTGAGTTGTGCATTTATCTGAGTTGTATTAGTAGTTTCACACAATATCATCAAGGAGAGGAAAGAGAAGGGAGCCTGGGAAACATCTTCTCCAGAAAATCACTGGTCTTTTCAGAATTAGACTTGTTGCCTAACTTGAGCAGTGCAGTTTGAGAAGAGCCCCAGTGACAAGCTGCTCTGGCGGGGAGCAGAGCTGTCACTCCATTGTCACTATCACTGTGCCTGTGCACATCGGGATCAGTTATGCATGTGCCTTGTGGGCACTGCACAGCACTGCAGTGCAATGGGACAGGCTAGGAGTTTTACTGGAACTTAGCAATATTAACACCCTGATTTGCTGCCCTGGCGTGACTGCATGCTCCTTCAATGCAATTCTCAGCTGGCTAGACCAGTCCAGACAACCTTCCAAACTAGCCAAATGTGTATGTTTGTGTCATGCTGGCAAATCTGAATGACTTTTGGGCATTTAATGCACTATGCTGCAGTTATCTTTTGCAGTAGTGTCAGAATCTCGAGAGATGAGAAACAGTAGTAATTACTTGTGCAGTAAAAGGCTTAAGCCAAAACCATGCAGCTCCCAGGCACACCTTCCCACTCAAGTCAGGTTATCAGCAAGCCCAGCTCTGCTGCTGTGAGCACAATCTCAGTGCCAACAAGCTTGAGAGCCCTTGCAGAGAGCAGCCTCCCTCCAGAGGCCAACTGCAGGATGTCCAATTGCCCTTGTGCTTCCACACTGACAGTTAAATGCCAGCACAACGCTAAGCCAGAAAGTTCTATGGAGGATGACAGCTATATCACTCCACTTGTTCTGTACAGGGGCTGTGTAGCTCTGTCAGTCTGGCACATTCTAGTACCAAACAAAACTGCATAGTCTTTATATTTCAAATGCTTTGAAGCAGATATTCAGCACTGAAATCTCGTCATGTGTAATTGGACTGCTTTGGAGCTGTAAAGTGATCACGTCAGTAATGGAGGCCTTACCCATCACAATAAGGCATGCATCTTGTAGGACTGATTGAGGTTAATGTTTATGAGAGAGAAACAAGGGGAAAACATACATGCTCTTCAGTAACACATGTTCTTTGGAATAGTCCTCGTTAGGAGCTAATTTATTACAGATTATCTCATGGCTAACATGGTGGGTAAAACCTCTCTGCAATGGCCTGCACTGATTGCATTAATCCACGTTACCGTGAAGGCACCTTGGAGACACACAGTAGTGCTGCACCTATTTAGGTCTTGCAACACATCGGGCCTAGAGACAATAGAGTCTCCACAGAAAACAATCAACCAAGGCAGCAAAGTGCAAGACTAATAATTCAGCCAACTCACACTACAAGGCACTAGCATGACATAGCTACTGTGCAAGTAGCACTCCCTGCAAGGAAAATAATGAAACGCTCTGTGTTAGAAGTACCTCTATCTATTTCTGTGACTCACCACAGTCTCGTGCCGAGGATCGCCTGCCCTTGTGTTCCGTTGGACGCGTATCCAGCTGTGTCCCACCGCTCCCCTGACAAAACATACTTCATATCAGACACTGAGTACGACCTTGAACCTCCTAATGCTAGAGGTCATTTCTGCAAAGAGCTCAACAGCCTGTCCTGGCTGGGCATGCAGCCGGGCCCAACAACGGGATGCAGGGCCGGGTGGCCAGTGGTTGAAATTAGGTGGAATTAAGGTTGTAAAAGCCCTCTGAGACCATCACGTCCAACCAGCCCATCCTCACCACGCCCACTAACCGTGTCCCTCAGCGCCACATCCCCAGCGTTCTGGAGCGTCCGCAGGGGCACTGAAGGCAGAGTACGGAGGAGCTGCACAGTCATCTTGGAAGCAGCCAGCAGCAGTGGGGCTCCCACAGCACCGTGCTCTGTTCCCTGTCTGTTAGCGCTGTTTTCCCTGAGGATACATACGTTTCTTCCTCCCATCAGATCTACCGGCAGTTAGGCTTCAGCTCGAGCCTAACGTGCCTGACGTACGTCGCGTGCCACCCTAACGCTCCGGGATCTGCTATGGCGCTGTTTTCTCCACATCCCTCCGCTTCGGTCAACGCCTCCTCCCGCCACCCCCCGCCCGGGCTCCCTCCGCGGTTCCTCACCTGGCCGCCTCACGGCCCGCGCGCCGCCAACCGCCGCTCCGAGCGCGCGCCGCCGTCGCTAAGGGAGGCGCGCGGCGTTGCCCGTCGCTACGGGAGGCGGCGGCGCGATGGCGGCGCGCTGCCGCGGGGGGACGCGGCGCTGAGGGGAGCGCGGCAGCGGAGAGGAGCGGCACCGCCACGACGCCCGCGCAGGAGGCCGCCTCGCTTCGTGCCGACTCCACCGGACGCCGGGTAGCGTTTTCTATTCCCCCGTCTTTCATTCCCTTACTGCACACATTCCTAACAAAACTCGACCCGGTCACTGTTAAGAGGTGCTGCGAAGAAATATTATCTGCCGCCGTTAGAACGGTACGGTGGTTCTGATGGAAACCGTTGTTCGTAAGGCTTTGAAGCAGGCTGCTTTCTTGCAGCTTGGCTCGTACAAGCGTGTGAGGCACGGCTGGGCTCAGACTGACGTGCGGGCGCGTTACCATGCCCGTCAGACGGCACTGTGGCAGTGCCTCGGGACACCCGGCGCTCCGGCACTTCACGGGATGGCTGCGCGCTGTGGCTCCAATGCTGCCAGTCTCAGGGATAATCCATAACATAAATCCAAATGCATACGTGCTGCGTGGTGTATCCGTTCATGCCATCATTGGGTGTTGCAGCTACAAGAGTGCTCCTGTGCTCCTTAGCTTTATTAACCTCTTTACAGGGAGAACGTAGTTTCTTATGCAGATTTAGGGGGGGGCAAAGTAAGGAAGAGAAGACAAACGTTAGCCCTAATTGAGCTCCTGAATAAACGCTGTGCAAAATCCGGGCATGTGCTAAGAGAGTGCTAACAAATACTGGAAAAGTGCTCGAACAGAATGACTTGCCAGTTCTCCAGACAGTGTAACCAGATGAGTACTGGTTCCTTGGAGCGCTGCACACTGGGGTGGCTGTGGGAGAACACAACTGGCCTCCCCAGCACAGGAAGGCAGGCTGCAGAAGAGCCCTGGGCCGCTGGGTGCCACAGCCATCGGAGTGAGGCACTCGTCCATCTGCTCCCAGCCAGCCATGTCGGCCAGGCATGAGCTGCTGTTATGCACAGCTCTTCAGGGGTGAAGCCAGCGTTGGGAAACAGTCTCCTGTTGTGCAGGACAACAAGAAGCGACTGGGTACTGTTTTGATTGCTTAAAAATTGCTACAATAAGAGGAGTCTGGGCTCTCTCAGTGCTTGCAAATACTGTGGGAAGAAAAGTCAGTCCCATTTTGTGAGTGAAACCAAGTTCCTTAACTACAGCGGGGTAGTGGGGGATAGAGAATGAGAGTATGAGAGAGCTGCATTCCAACTATACATTTTTAAAAACGCTTCTCTTCCTGAATTCCAGAGGCATAAGCAGCGTAAGAGCCTTCCCTGTAGTGCCTTCTTACTGCTCCTCACTGCAGAATTTCCTGTCTGGGCACTTTGCTCAGAAAGCTGGACACCACAGGGTTCTGGTTTCCCTCCCACTCAGAATGGGCCTTATTAGAACCAGAGTGCTGCTATAGTTGCAGCACCTTTCAGAAAAAAAATATAAAATCTCAGCATTTATTCCATTTCTCACAACATCAGCATTACACAGTAATGATTCAGGGGACAGAATTGAGTTACTGTTGGTTATGTGTTGTAAGATACTATTTTATATATGATCAAAGTGAGGGTTGTACAAAATTACCACAAACAAACAAACAAGCATTTTAAGCAATGTCACATTGAAATTAGAGAAAGCAATCTAGTTGAGGGAGCAGCTAACCTATTCTGGACAGATTACACTACCAGAATTTTAGTGCCCACTTTAGAAAATTAGCCTTTTCTAATAATAACACCACTTCATACTATTTTTCTTGCAGCTTTCTTTCAGGCCTCCTTTACAGAATGGGAGGTAGTGCCTCAAAAAGTCTATTGAAATTATGCATCCTTCACCTCTCTTAAAACTCACCTCCTCTCGGACATCCACAAAACACTCAACAACATCCAGGCAAGTTGCTACATGGTTCCATGTACAATCTGTTACCAAGAAAAAGAAAAGTTCTCTGAAGGGACACTACACCTCCACATTTTTTGTTGTATGTCCTGTTAGTGTCATTTTTGGAGCAGAGGTTGATCCAGGGTTTGCTGAAGCTGATAGGAGGCTTCCTATTCACTTATTGAAATGGTCCTGACCATTGCTTGTTCCTCCATCCACACGAACTGAGACTAGATATGAGAGAACACAAAGCTTAAAAAAAAATCATAACCAAGGCAAATGTGAAGCTGATGTTCTGCACCACACTTTTCTCTAGAAGCATTTGTTGCATTACGTGGGGGAATCTTTTGCCATGTCAGTGTTCCTGCCTGCACCTTTTTCCTACAAGGGATTTACCACAGAGAAATTCAGTTTACCCTCTTATGTCACAGCCCAGCAGAAAGCTCATGCATCAGCTACCTAAGAAGGAAGGCATTCGGGTTCAGACAAAGTGATGCCAGCATCTATTTTGTGTTTTAGCAAGACTTGTAACTGGGTCTTGTGATTTTTTTTTAAATCTCCATTTGTAGTACTAAAATGGCAGATGATCAAACCTTTGGGATTCCAAGTAATTGAAGATTATAACAATTCCTTACAGTTTCTTAACATTAAGTCCATGTTGAATGAGACTTCTTTAGAACATTTTGATAATGAGAAAAAGCAATTTGCAAGATGCAGTGTTTATGTAGTCTCTATATGTTCACACAGAACCCTGTGCTCTGCCAAGTAGATAAGTAGTTATTTCCATGCCCTGAACATAGTTTGATTCTTGTAATTTCTTGCATATGAGAGTAGTTTCATCTCTGTGTTCCATGCAGAAATTACTGCCTTGAAAGAAGCCATTTTTTCTCATTCCAGAATGTTACCAGTAGATAACAGACTTCGAAACTTACAGATCTACAAACTTCTCCAGTGTGTTCACCAGAAAGACAAGAAGCAAATAGAAAAGCTGATCCAGAATGGATTTCCAAACCTCATTAATTTCACTGAGCCTATGGATGGACACAGTGCTCTTTCTTTGGCTTGCATTAAGAACGACATCGACATGTGCAATTTCTTGCTACAACAGGGAGCTCATCCAGATGTTCAGGACAAAATGGGATGCACTCCAGCAATGAAGGCAGCTGAGCTAGGCCATAGCTTGGTTCTGGAGTTACTAGCAAAAATTAAAGCAGACATGACCGTTGTTGATAATGAAGGGAAAGGTAAGTAAAAAGGAACCTCATTAGGCCAGCATAAAATAGCTCCTTCCTGTCTTACATACTTGCTGTATATGTTGTGTTAAATCTGTGGAGAGGAACCATGGCTGAGGTTAATTTTTAAAGCTCAACAGAAGCTAATGAGCAGGTAGAAATTAAAATTATTCTCCCTGAAAACCTGGGCCCTTAAATCACAGCACTTCCCGTGCATCCTCCCATGACCAGTCACATATTCAGTTCTGGTTTACTCCCTGAGTTCAAAGGCCCTAAACTAAAAATTCTTTTTTTGTATTTACATGTCCTAAGAGATGTTAATGGGTCTCGGTTGAAAGAGTTTGTCTATTCAGTTGTGAAGTTTACAGTGTAAGAAACCCCTCTTATCATTTGGCATTACACCATAATCACTGTTGTTTTTCTTTGCAGGTGTTTTGTTTTACTGCATTTTACCTACTAGACGGCACTATCACTGCACTCAAATTGCCCTGGATTATGGTGCAGATATTAACAACTGTAGTACTGATGGGAAGCCTGTATTTCTGCAAGCCTGTGAGCAAGCTCACAATATTAAAGAAATCTGTCTGAATTTCTTGGAAAGAGGAGCAAATCCCAATGCAAGAGACCCAGTATGAATATTTCAGTACCTAAGAATGCATATACAGGAGTACAGAATAGCTATCAGATGACTGCAGTATATGACCATAAATCCTCACATTAAAATAACACAGCAGTGGCAAGTGCATAACTCTGTGGGCGCATCTATTCCCTTCTTTATTTTCTTTATTATCCTTTTTTTTTTTTTTTTTCAGGAGCAGATATTTAAGTCTTTTGCTTGAATCATGTATCTTGTATTAGATTTTTGTAGATTAAAAATAGAGTAAAAAGTAGAGTAAAAATATTAAAGAAGTATAACTGGGCCAACTCTTAAAAATTGTGGCTCATTATACTTCAGTGGAGCAGTGCTTACTTGTATTTTGCCTGGATATGCCCCAAACTTCTCAGGATTGAAGTACTGTTCACTACAAATGTCACTCCAGCATGAAAAAACTGAAGGGGAATCAAGGTACAAATGAGATGTTAGAAACTCTTTTCTCTCTTCTATACATCTCAGTAATTTATGTGTTTATTTGCTAAACTGAACAGTGACATTAAGGATCAATAACACAGGGTTTTATCAAGTCATATAACTGTAGAATCATTTAGGTTGAAAAAGACCTTCAGGATCATCAGGCTTTCCCTTAGAGCTACCCGTGACTCTTGCTTTGGTCGTAGCATTGCAGTAATACATTCATAGTTTGTAGTTATACCAAGCCATTTTATGTCAAAAACATTTGGCCCACCACCTCAACTCTGCATACCTGCAAAATGATGAGATACTTGCATTTTAGTTTTAATATGATGGGCACACACCTGGTAACATAATGGGAATGGTTTGCTGGATCCAGAGAAAGATATAGGGAACAAAGCACAGTTCAGCACATTGAAATCCACAGCTCACTGTTTGCTTCCTACCATTCTTTCTTCTTTGCCTCTCTGTATAGCAACAGGTAAGAGGTTTTAAGTGGTGCTGTGGGTATTAGGTTAATGGGGACTGTCCCTGATCTGAAAGGTGCTTTTTTCTTTGGGACAGTCACCAAACCTACCGAAGTCAGCCATTATAAAGAAAATGTGTACAAATAATATCAAGCATGCACTATCATCAAGAAAGAAAAAAAACAACACAGTGTTAATGTATTAGTATGTGAACTTATCCTCACAGACAGAATACCAATGAACA